ACTATTTACTCAGTAAGTTGTTGCCTAAATCGATTAATTTCACTTGCATTTTGTATACTAGACAAAAAGCCCAAGCCTTCAAGCAAACAGCGATAGTCTTTTGCCTTCCTCAATGTGCTGCAGTATTACATAGTTCTAAATGTTCACTATGATTTCATGTAACCTTGTCCTATACAAATACTTTTTTACTACAGTATTTGTTAGGTCCTTAAAAAAATTACATTTTGAGATCTCTGTGATCAATTTCAATGCTTCTTTAATAAACTGAGTATTTCTAAAAACTGGTAAATATTTGTGGCAAGCTTTGACCCATAGGAGGAGCAAGACCAAGAAACCTTTAATGAAAATAAATTAAATGGGTAAGTTTTCTAACAGTAAAGCCTAAACAAGTGTAATATAAAAAGCATTTTGTTAGGAATTAGTTTCCGTAGCTGAAATAATCCCAACCTAGAAAAGAAAATTTACAGCATTACACTTTGAACAGCATATCTGCCTCTTGGTATGCTGTATCATTAACAAGAAATAGAAAATTAAACCTCAAAAGTGTACTTAAAATATTCACGTTGCAATACTAAGTATACTGGGCAAAATCTAGAACCACTAAAATAAATGAGAGTTACCCCCTCCAACTGATTTTTTACCATTATATTTTAATCTAAAGCAGTATTTTAAAGACTGTACTATCTAAGCTGAATAAACTGAAATCACTGAAATACTGATGTTAGAAAACCAGGAAGTCACAATCTGACAATAAGACTTCAAGGATTTTTGCATGGCAACAATGGATGCAGTTTTTCTTGAAACATTTTATTTACATGTTTCTCCTATAAATCTTTCTAGATGCACATTATTATTTCAGTTACAAGTCTGCATTTTTTTTTTTCTAATAAGCTTAAGTTACATCTGTGTGCAATTTCTACTTTCATTGTTTTACTGGTATTTTCTATTCTGACTAATTTTAAAAACTTCATAATGAGAAATTAAGATATTATTACAAAAGTGCAAGTGAATTCTGTATTAGGTTGAATGCACATACCCGTTAGATGCTACGGTTACAGATAAAAACATTTAAATTTCTGTTAATTACTGTTCTTTGATTAAGTATCATCTCTTAATACTGTCTTTGATGCCTGCACATGTATGAAAAGTAGAAGTCAAGACAGAAATTACTTCTTCCATTCAGTAAACATATGGTATACTAACCATACGACTAAATGTATAGTATACATGTCGGAGCTAAAAATGAACACCAATAATGAAACAGAACCCAAACAATTAGATGAGATGAAATTAATCAAACCCCACAGGTTTATGGTTTGAAAACTATTTAAAATGGTTTTGTTCTGTTCTTTTTTACGGTGTAGTGTTAGCATAGATGTAACTAAAAAGACTTCCAAATTCAAAGATGCCTAATCTCTCTGATCAGAGAAAAGGTATGTGAGAGCTGCTGTATGCGCATATGCGCACACACTAAGATGTAAACAGAAGTGTACTGTAAAGCAGATTCAAATTCTTCATCATGCGCATTACCAGAATAGTCAAAATAAAATCAACCAAAAGTCTGCCCTCACAAACACAAGTGCCACACTGATTAGAATAAGATTACAACATTTTAAAAGGCATATTTTACCCCTAGTGAAAGAAAACTGAGATATTCTTGCTAATAAAGCAAACAATATAAAACTCATTTTTGCCTGACTATAATGTAATTTCAACAGCAAGAATAGTCCAAATCCAGGAAGAAGTATGTGTTAACATATGCAACATTGACATATAATCTTCCTGGGTAGTGAAAATCTGAAGAAGATATATTAGTGCTGTCGACAGACCGTTAGCATGTCCCACAGGATGAACTTTCAGCAAGCCATGAATCTTAACATGCTCAAGAAATCAGTACTTTACAGCAGAAATACAATTGCCATTTAAACCAACTTCCTTTTTTAGGAGAGATTGTTTTAAAAAATAGTTACAGGAAAACTAGTAGATGCCTACATTGCTTTGGTTATGTTGTTAATTAAGCATCTAATCCAAATCCATCCTATTCTACTGATGTTGCAGTCAAGAGACAGTAGAATGAGTTAGGTTCTCTTAATCACATTTAACTTCAGACCTTCACAAATGACCAGGATTCTGGTTATCTAACAGGTCACAGAAGTAATGATAGGTAATCACTTTTTTCCCCCTGCAGAAACCTCAGCTGGGTAACCACACAATAATCATTAACTTTCTAACATTTATGCAAGGTAGTAAAGTTGGTAAAGGGAAATTTGGCTGTCATCAAAATGCAGCCAACAATGAGCATTATGATAGCTTCCCAGAAGGCACACTCTGGACTTTCAATCAGCACAAGATTGCATGTCAACAAAATTTGGGATATTTGCTATAGCAGAATGGAAGACTGTTAGTCAAGAGAAAATATTAAGTATGTTAAGCACACTAGCACATACTGCTTAACATCTCTCTTCTCCTACAAATCTAGCAACTATGGACGCTTCCTATACACATTTCCTTCCCTGTGAGGCTGCTTCAGTAACACTAATAATTTGTCCCATTACAGCCTGTTTTAAGATTAATTTACTGAAAAATGAAGGTTCATACATTGCACTTATTTTACTATATTACATTGATTATCATAAGTTGTCTGCTTTTACTTCCTACCATGTCTTTTCCACTACCTTTGGTAAATACCTGACTGAGATCATGACAGATCACATAAATGTTCAGCTGATGTATTTCTGTAGAAGGTCAGATTGAACCTACATCCATTAACAAAACAGCAAATTCTCTGAATAACCATGACAAGTACACTCCTTCAAATACACTGGGAACAGGGAGAGTGCCAGAGAGTCTAAAAGGCTAAGATAGCATCAAAATGGAAAAATAGCAGAAAGCCAACAGAAGGAAAATAATTATTTTTACCCATGTTCACCATTAAGTAATTTATGACTGCTTCATAACTGGATCCTAATTTACATAGAGCATACTGGTTAATGTACTTCAAGTGCAGACACCAGTAGAAGGAGACATAGAATAAATCAACAAAAGAAACAGTAACAATTCACCCACATTGGATGCGATTCATTTAAAACATCCCAAGGAAATCAAGTATAAAGTTGAATCACCAATTGCAGATTGTCACTGGCTTCTGAAGTAGTCTTACTTTTAACCTCAGAAATTTCCTAAAGTTCTTTTAAGAATTAAACAAAATTGATCCGAGTGAAATTGTCTACTTGGATTTGAAATGGATTTCAGCAAAGTTCCACACTAGGAGCTCTTAAAGAAAACGAACAGCTGTATTTTAAGGGCACAAAAAAATCTTACAGTTAAAGAATTGCTTTAATTATGAGAAATAAGTAATAGCAATAAATGCTTAGTTTACTCAGTAGGGAAGAGTCACCTGTGGTGTCCTATATGCTCAAAAATACAGAAAAGTAGGAGGCTAGTGTAGTAACAAAATTTTCTAATACTACTAAGCTATTCAAGATAATAAAGACGAAAGCCAATGCCAAATATTTACACCAGGTCCACATGGGATACGGCATGACTGTGTAATAAACTGTCGCACAATATCCAGGCTAGACAATACAGGTGCTGTTCATGGAGGAAAGCATTCTAACATGACTTCACAAAGACAACAAAGGCCTCCTTAAGATCAGGAAATATAATCCAGAGATATAATAAAAGGTTTTGTGATAAAAAAATTAAATAGTCTGACCACACTGAAAAAAACTCTTTAGAGCAATACAAGATGATGAAAGCAGAATGATTTATTCAGAAGTACAGTCTTGAGCATTCAAAAACCATGAACCAAAGCTATGTTTAGAGCAGTAACAGCTTGAGACTAATTTTATAATGTTTCAAAAAATCCACCAAAATCTTCTAAAAAAACCCCAACGCTAATTATTTCTAAGATTCAGAAAAAGGTCAAAAATATATCAAGAGGTAAACACTCCACAAGAAAGACTTAAAAGAATGTATTCAATCATTTCTGAAACAAAATTATCAAATCATTAAATTAAGGGGAACTTTAAAAATCATACAAAATATGGGTTAAGCATTTTATGATAAACACTTAAGTAATTAACTCTGGAATGACTATCATGAACACATCCAGGATATACTGCACAAACTTTGAGGAATTAAACACTAAGATTTTTTCTAATATTCAAGTTCCTTTGGGCTCATGAATATAGTACTCGATTACAGATCTACCTTACCTACACACACTGTTTTGCATTTAACGAGCATTATCACCTTAACTATTTTGCCTTTTCTGCTTAATCAAGGGAAAGAGTGCTAGTAAAACTGAAATGCATAAGTACATCTCATTGACAAATCTATGGAAGGAACTAAGCAAGTTTACAAAACCATTGTGGGTAGATCATTTCAAAGCCTTTCAAACTCACTTTAAGTCATAAATTGGCCTTTGGAAAATGTCAGGGGTATGTGTACATGTAAGATCTGGCACACTTGTAAAGTTGGAGGCCTGCTAGTACGAGTGACAGATTTATTATAATAGTTCCAAATGACACATTAAAAGCTTAGACATTTTTAGACAAATATTTCCTCCCACCATAATACTTTCTTTAGATCTATGTTCTAAAGTTTAGTTGCATGGTCAGGAACAATGAAAGAAGACCAATAGATCTCACTTTCACAGAGGAAATGTGGAAACTTCACAGTTTTTTTCTAGGAATTTTTTTTCCAGGAACAAAATCACTTTGGTTTTATTTTTATTTTTGGTGTCTTTGTTAGAGAATATAAATGAGAGTCTTGTTGAATACTGACACCATTACTCAGGTTTTTTCCTAGGACAGATTTAATTGTGAAGTACCTTCTATTAGCAACAGCAGAAATAGTTACACTACTGCAGCAGCATAGTTGCACAGTTTTTCTTAAAAAAAACCCAACAACCTGCAATTTCCTTTAAAACTCTCTGGTACAGACGCTTAACTTTAAATATGAAGGAACAACTTTTATTATTCTAGAAGTGAACTCACCTGTACTTCACATTTTGGAGAAGAATTCTGACGTACTGCATTTAAAGCACCACGAGCCTGCTGAAGTTGCTCTTGTAACTGACAAATCTTTTGATCTTTTCCAAGTAACTGATCCTGAAGAGAGGCACAGCTTCGCTGCAGTTGAACTTCACTTGTTTTAACAGTTTCAAAACATGAAGTCAATTCATTATAAAGCTATGAGAGGGGAGAAGAGAAATAACAGGATTAAAAATAACTTTAGTAAAGATAGCCATATAAATAGAGAAGTAAAGAAAGTATAATTTCAGCAACTTATCCACAAAGATCACCCTCTCTTTTTTACGTTTTGACAATTCTTTCAGACATCGTGTCCTCCTGCCTCCTGTCAAGCTCTATACACTTGAAAGTACTGATTGCAATAATCACTGAAATTTAAGTCTGAAAGAAGGTTTTTCTAGAAAAACACAATTTACATTACAATATTATCAGTTTCAGTTGCTTCTTTATGGCATTTGTGAATAGAAATGGACACCTAAAAATCAAGATTTATTTTACTTCTTGAACGGTTCATATAAAATACAGAAAATACAAAAGAAAAAAAAAATCCCTTACTGAGAATAGCCAAAAACTTGAAACATCTGTCCTGGGAATGAAATTAAAGGAGTAAGAATACCAAATACCATCCTTGTCTTTTATAGAGTAGTTTGATCTTTTAAAACTAACATTTTTAATATAGCATGGATAGCAATACAGTGAATCCACTAATGCTTACTACATTTTGCATGAAGTGTAAAATGGTTGTTTAAATAATTATTCTGTGGGAATTTTTTTTACATTAAGTATAAAACCCAGAGATGATATTAGAATTTCCTATCCCTTGCTATTGCTCAACTGTTTTCTCTGAAACAAGAATATTGTATATATTCGGCACTCACTTTAGAAGACATTCCATACACACAAAGAATTTCTAGAACAACATCTAAGTAATAACTAGCACTACATGCCATCTAACTGACAAAAAGAACTTATTTTGCAAGAATAAGAGAACTTAACAACCACCCCATACCTCCGTTTTTACCCTTTTTTCCAATATAAACATCTGAAAAATGTTTAAAACAAAACCAGCTTATTAAAAAAGTTTGAAAATTAAATTTGTAGTTGAAGAACAACAGTACAGATTCTGAAGGAAATACATAACTCTACATCTTTACTACCTAAGCATACATTCCTCTCTCTCTTCATTTCAATCCTTCATTCCTTTTGTCCTTTTTTCTCAAAATAAACAATATTCCCTCCAACTATTTATTCTACCATATAATAATCTGTAGAAGGCATGCACATACTTGTGCAGCTGACAGTTTTCTTCAGAAAATCCATTTCTGCCATTCCAACCAAAAGAAACTAAATATGAAAATCAGAACTTCCAAATCTATCAATAATGTTTGTAAGTACAAGGAACTGACACAAGTCATTTTACTTGTAAAAACATTATTTCACTCTTCATTTTACTTTTTGTCTTGTCAGCTTTACTTAAATGATACACTTCTTTCTCCCTTTCATCTGCTTACATTGCTTAGAAGTTAAAGCCTTTGAAAAATAATCACAACTTTTAGATTTGGAAACTGTCTACCTAACACTTTTTGAGGAATTTGGAAACAATAATCTCCCTTCCCTTCCTTCTTCCTATCATTTTTTACTCCCATGGGCTCTCAAAATCCAGTTAGGACAAAGTAAATTACTTCTTGCCTATTTCCAAAGCAGATCAAAGATATGACTCTCAGGCAAAATTAATTCAAAGTCCAGATAGATTGTTATTTTGAAGGACTCCGAGTCTTAAAAATTAAACTTTTGCATGGAAATTTCTGTGCCTACTGAATCCTTCTTATATATTTAAGAAAGCTTACATCACCTCTAGAAATGCAAGTTCAAAATTAGCCAATTTCTTATGGAAATCAGTAAGTATCTCATAGGAAAATAAACAGTTCATTTATCAAAACCCATGCATTTTTAGAGAAAGTCCTTCCAAACGAATGGAACATCAAGACACAGTTACTTCCAGCTATAAATATATAAGCTCATTAGCTAGATCATACTGGTATGACAATTTGCTGGTTTTATGACTAGCAGCACTTAAGCGGTTATAATTATAGTATCTGAAAGGTAACATCCTAGTAAGATGAATGGAGAACATCAAAAATATGATGCTTTTTTCTAGCTGGCAGCCACATCCCCTAATGTAGCTAATGGGTATTTTTGGTAGTCAGCATTTGTCAGGACAAGACAAATAGCATGTCTTTTTACTTGCATAAACTTTTCCAACCTTTCCTGCTTTGAAAACAGCAATAACAAAACACATACATTTCAAGTATAAAACTAGCTATGCGCATAAAACCACATTCACATGATTCATCTTTTTACATTAAGGTTTTGGGGGGTTTTTTAAACCCCACCAATGTATGGGTTTATAGGAGTAAGATTTTCTTTTTTTTTTTTTTTCTCAAGGTATTGAACATCAGGAAATTTCAAAATGAAAATAATCTGTATGAAACGAAATAGTTTTATCTACTGTCCACAGATAACTAGAAGAGCTTCCAAATTTACATTTGGGTCCCTATCTTTTGTTTTATGGCCACGCACTCTTTTGTGCAATAAATACATGCTTAATGTTTATATTGGATTATTTGGGGGGGGGGGTTGCTCATTTCTGACCCTGTTTTACAAGAGGCATATTTAATCACACCGCAGTAAGCACATTCCTGAACATACAGAACTGTACAACACAGTGAAACAAGTCTACCATTAACAAAGATATAGAAAGTCAGGTGTAGAGACAAGACGTAAAATGGAGATCAGAGGACTAGAGATGGAACATTGGGTAGAAAACCCAAAAGAAAGAAAAATGTATTGTAAATTATTTATCTCAGAACTAGTAAGCTTCACAGAGGAGTGAAATCTTGACTGTACATAAATGAGTGGTTATACCTTACATGAATGTCAGTAAGACATTTACCCAGGAACAAGAGATTTACTCAAGGAATTGTTTAATCCCCAAGAAGAGATATATAAAAAAAATTTATGCTTACAATATAGAAAGAAAAAGGAAAATATTTAAAATCATTCTTTATACATTTTAGGAAATTTGGTAGTTGAAAAAAGAAGGCAAAAAAAGGCAACAGGCAGGGACATAAGACTGCTGTGCAAAAACTGTTGCACTGAATGTATTTTCAGAATCTCGTTCTAATGCCTTAGATCTGTCCTTTCTCTGACAGGCAACCTAGACTGTTACAGGTGAAGGTACTTAAAAACAAATAAAAAAAGATTAAAAGTTTCTGAAAGCAGTACGCTGTAATAATTTTAGTCAATATGACACAAGAGCATTATTTATCAGTCAGGAAGGAAAAGTAACTTAGCTGAATTACAAAAAATAAAGTATCCCATATTTCTCAGCTACCCGAACAATCTCCTAAATAGATTCAACTGATTTTACCAGAAAACACTTTTTGCTAGATCTTTGAAGAGTTACTTAAAACAGAAAACTTCATTAGAATAGGTGTGCTTAATGTCATCAAGTAACCTAAAAATGCCAGACCAAAGCTAGGACTTCCAGGAGAACCAAAAGATGTGACTTTAATGCCTGCTCACATGTGATAGAAAATATTTAACAGCCTGATAATGGTGGGGTGAGGTAAAGTACTGACATACATTAAATATGTGTGATGACAAAATTAAGTTAGGTCGGAGCAAGGAAAGCTGAGGAATTCCAACAAAACCCAGTAAAACTAAATAATCAACCCATGCTATCTATTGTGTTGCATGTTAGCCAGAATCATAGTGTAACTGGAAAAAAAACTGCAGAGTGAAACAGTTGGCAAAAACGACCAACGCTAACATTATACAAGTGTGCAGGATTTATTTTAAACTAGGTTTAGACTGCTCCTGTGTACTGAATGCCAATTAATGTCTGGGACACATTTTTGGTTCCAAAATAATTTCCAGTTCCGTAACCCAAAAGGCATTTAGTTAATGGTCTGATACACTTTTCTATGATCTCAACTAAAGCACAGAAAGTGGGGACATCCAGGAGATTTCTTTCAAAAGTATACTCCTGTGAGGAACTAACAGTAAGGTAGATCTGTTAAAATGCAACAGTAGCCTCTTATATACACTGAGAGTAAAACAAATATTCTCCTACATTAACTGTGTAATCTAAATGCTCACACCCTAAAAACCAGTGTATTACAGAGACCTGAGTAAACGAATCCAAACATACAGTAATATTGAACATATATTAATGACACAGATGAAAAAAAGTCTACATTAAGACACAATAAAACTATGAGGGAAACTATTACAGCACCATTGCAGAAATCCAGTTACAAGATGTTTATAAGAACTTTAAAAGAACAAGGGTAGAAATCAGCTGGAGGAGCTCTACGGTGAAACTGAAAAGGCGGTCCAGACAGACTATATGCAGCACATTCGTGGCATTTAGTTTTAAAATGGAAGATCAGACGTAGAGTGATTTTTTTTAAGATGAGAGACCATGAAGCTTACCTGTGATACAGGAGAAAAATGTCAGACACAAGCGAGAGGTTAAGAACAAAAACAAAAGAAAGTAGAGAATGGACGTAAGTAACATCAGATAACAGGCAAGCAAGAGTCACTAGTATAAGCTAAAACAGAAGATTGGCTTTCCTCAACTTTATGGTAGTATGTAATTGCAAATACCACGGTTGTTTTGCAAACCATGTAAAATGGGTAACTTCAGCAATATACCTTCTCAAAAATAACAGAAAAAAACATAAAAGAAAAGGACATTTCTGTCTTTTTTATTAGTGTAACTACTGCAAAAATTCAAACTGATGAGTGTATTTACTTCAATGAATCCAGTACTTCCCATTTCTGGGCTGCTTTTTTGAACATATAAAATTTTTGACACATTTCTCTCAGAAATACTGTGTTTATCAGCCACAACTTCTCTATGAAATGCTACCAAAACTTATTTAGATTTCTTCTCTCTGTATAGTTTACTGTCAGCGAATATTCAGCAGGCTTGTGAAGAACACCAGTCCTAGTTAATGCAGAAAAATGTTAATAATTCATACTGCAAACGGTATTGTTTAAAATCCTCCATTGTGGGACCAATCTGATAATACACAAAATTCAGATAAATCATATAATTCTAACTCTGACCAAAATTGGCATTACTCACAAAGATATTTAAGCAAGCTTACTCTTAAGATTTTTCTTCCTTTCTTGGTGTACAACTCCTTTTGCACTGTGTCACCAGTTTACGTGATTTCTTTCATCTACAGCTCTCATATTGTAAAAAAATATTATCATTGCCAGAAACATTAAGACAACGGTTTGCAAATATTAGTGACAGATTTAGAATTATAGGTTATTTATAATTTATAATTCTAATACTTAAGCAAATACTTAAGCATTCTGCAGATACCAATCTACACCATTGGACACAGGAACAACAGCACACTAAGAATATCAGTACAGCGTTTTTCAAGCATGAAAATTATCACCCATGAGTGCAGAGTTTAATGTCACCCTGAGAGAACCAGAATCTACCCAGGATTTCTTCAACTTCAACCTATAGGCACATCTAATGCCAAAATCTACTTGCTAGCATGGGACCAACTGTACTGGTGTTTGGTATACAAGAAATAAACACACTAACGTAATCAACACATTTGCCAACAAGTGAGAACAGTATTAGAGCTAGACCTAAAGTGTAAGATAATCTTTGTTAAAGATCTGAGATTCTCACAGCTTTCACAGACTGTCCTGGTTTCAGCTGGGATAGAGTTAATTGTCTTCCTAGTAGCTGGTACTGTGCTATGTTTTGAGTTCAGTATGTGAAGAATGTTGATAACACTGATGTTTTCAGTTGTTGCTCAGTAGTGTTTAGACTAGAGTCAAGGATTTTTCAGCTTCTCATGCCCAGCCAGGGCACAAGAAGTTGGCACAGGACACAGCCAGGGCACCTGACCCAAACTGGCCAACGGTGTATTCCATACCATGGGACGTCCCATCTAGTTTAGGAACTGGTAAGCGGGGGGAATCGCCGCTCGGGGACTGGCTGGGTGTCGGTCAGCGGGTGGTGAGCAATTGCACTGCGCATCATTTGTACATTCCAATCCTTTCATTACTACTGTTGTCATTTTATTAGTGTTATCATTATTAGTTTCTTCTTTTCTGTTCTATTAAACCATTCTTATCTCAACCCACGAGTTTTACTTCTTTTCCCAATTTTCTCCCCCATCCCACTGGGTTGGGGGGGAGTGAGTGAGCAGCTGCGTGGTGCTTAGTTGCTGGCTGGGGTTAAACCACGACACAGATAAAGTGGACTACAAAAATGATGATTCATTATTAGTGATGTGGGCTTCAGCATATTTGACTGGACAGTTTTTCTCAGTTCTTACCGTGTGTAAAAGAACTTATGTTTTTCATTCCAATTTGAGGGAGAACTTTCATTGTTACTACCATCTACACATCTATGTGGTTTTAGCTTTTATTTGTGAATTTAATGCTGCTTGCATAAAAATAAACATATTATATGATTTTTAACTACGATTAAAGGTTGTTGCAGTCACAAAAAAGACTGGAAGTGGTAAAATTTAACCTTAGGATGGCAAAGTCAGTAACTTGAAATTTTTATTACAATTTCTCAGGCTTGAAGGAAAGCAAACTATTTCCCCACACTGACACCATGAGAAGGACTAGCAAAGGCAACTGCAGGCACAACATCCAAAAATGTATCTGACACTACCCTATTTTTATCTACTTTCTGGTGCACTTAATGCAGACTTCCGCAATGCCTCATAATTGAAAAACTCTTACTGTGTTTTCTAATTATGCCAAAAATCTAACTATTGAGCAATGCTTTTCTTTATCACAGACATGTGCTGTACCACTATCCACAGTATTCTCTATTTGAGAGCTAAGTTCCAGGACACGAATTACATTTTCCTATTTAATGACAAATAACAGTATCTCCACTTCACTAAAAGGGCCTTCCAATAAGAGATTTTTAATCAGTATGATTAACAAAGAACTTAAAGGCCACATTAGATCAAGGGAAAGTACTGTATTATAAAAACAAAGGCCCTAAATTGTAAATTTCAGAAAACTGTGGTAAGCTGGCTAAGGAGTTCAGAATCTCTTCTTGTCTTATTATCCCCAGTATTGATTGAAGTCTCTCCACCTTGAAATTGTTGGTGAGGACAAATCTATTGAGTCTCATTAAATCCAGCACAGGAATGAAGTCCCCAGAGTATTTGGGACCACTAAAACAGATACTGTACATTTTAGAAAAATATTCCCTGTCCTTAAGGATGAGAACTACAGCTGCAATATGAAATAGATACCAATTTGTTTCCATAAATGCTGTAACGTAAAGGAGTTATTGTAGAACACAGCACCCTTAAAATTTGTACTTAAAGAAAAAAAAAATGTAGTAGTATGTCCAGTCAACAGATCTTGATAAAACAGATTACAGATCTTCACATGTGTATGCTGCCCACTACAGCTAGACTTGGAAGAGAATTTGTGGTCCTCAATGGATTTACACATAATCCAGTGCAAGTTCATGACCTTGATGTGGTTTATCAGAAATAGTTTTTGTTTTATTCAGTCTACTGTTTCATGCTACACATTAACATCAGCACAAAAGTCGGTTCTTCCTAAATGGTAGACTGTTAAGATGAACTTGGAATATGTGAGCCAACCACCTCGGCTGAGCTATAGCATGTACTGCCTATCTGACCACTAACCGAGAGGTCATTGATCTTGCTGTAAGGGACAATATATCACTGGATGTACACACTGATAGGCTCAATGCCATTTGGAGCAGTAGGAAAATATTCCTTTGTGAATATGTTTATGGAATAGCTGACACATCCTTATCTAGCTGTTGCAGCCTGCATATTATTAATGCATGGAAGACAAACAGAACACACATTTGTCTGCAATAGTTTGCCTTTCTCATTCAAGGGAAAAATAGGCTTTTGTATTATTTTTATAGATGCTGAGCCCTGCTGTGACTTCAGTAGGACTGCACATCTTGTGATTTGGAAAATGCATGTTACTTTGAAGCAACTGCGGTTGGGTATTTTCTACAGTTCTTCTGATCAGAAGTATAGAACAGGATTGTCATGATAAAGGAACTCCTTTTCCCCTCCTAAGTTCTCTCAACTCAATTTGCCACAAACATTAGTAGATCTATTCAACTGTGACATAGGGAACTCAACTTTTTTTTTAAAATATATACTTTTTTTTTTTAACATATCTTTATAAAACCCAAAAAGAACAGAATTTTTCCAGGTCATTAGATATTTTGGTATTTTACAAAAAGACAGCTTATCAGTTCCACAATAGTAATTTGTCAGAATATTTGAGTTGACTTTTGCTGGTTTAAGAGGCAAACCTTACTCCTCCATGTAGGAAAAATACTGAATTCAACACCTCCAAACCAGCAAATTTTAGGGTCATCTGTGAGTTGGAAGTATTTGGCAGCTATCAAAAGAAGGGGCTTATCTTCAAAACCACACTATTCTTGTTCTTGTTGCATGATCAGCTAAGCAGAAGTCTTAAGCTCTGCTAAGACAGACCAAGAACTGTGAACCAGCTTTCTGAAGCAATTCGCAATTTTGAGCCAAGCCCAGTTTAGAAGCGGCCTGCTGCTATAGCTATATAAGTATACCCACCAATTTTCCATAATACATAAGTAACTTATTATAGCAAAATTATTTTTCATAGGACAGGTCAAACTCCCAAACTGAAGTAATACTGGCAAAATCCTATTGTGCAAGGTAAAGTGACCATTATGAAGAGTTTTGTCATGCTTTGAAACAGTCTCATGAAAACCCAGTTTTATTTTTCTTCATATGTTGTAGAACTAGTCTGGAAGAATAGGGTCTTATAAACACTGATGAGGAGAGTTCATATTATCTTCATTGTGCCTTAGAATGAAAAATGAAATAGCAACTCTTGATACCTACATTCTGTATTTTTTATTTTTAATTCTATAATGTACTTTGTCTTGACCCAGACAGGCAGAACTCTCCCTGTCTTGTACGCGCTCTGAACAACTTTGATGGAAGTTTACCTGTAGCTTGGCTGTGCTACTATTGTAGTGAATAAAAGACTTAAAGTCTATCGTCACCACAGTCAATGATGAACTTGCACAGAGTTAAGTACACAAGAATGTGCTGGGCACTATGTGCTATAAAATGCTACCCAAACACATCTTTAGACACCCAGTACTGATTCTGGCTTGACATAGGCCTAGTTTCACAATTTTATCACAAACTGCATACTCAAGTAACATGATAAAGGGAAACACCTGTTTTCTGAAAAAGCAGTGACAGTACGCAATTTGAGAAAACAGTTCCAAGATTGGTAGAAGGTACATGAAAGTTGTATATACCACTTCTTCCTTCCCAATGTTTCTAAAAAGGAAGGAAACATATCCTCTGTATTTCTTACAGATTGAAAAACACATCCATACTATTTGTTACACTCAAAAAAGTACTGAGTAGTGCACATGTGACAGTTCTTCAGAGTTAGAGTTTTTCCTGGCATTCATCAAAAATATGAATCTGTTCTGTAAATGTTAAATATAGTTAAATTGTTTTGAATTAGTTATCTATTTATCTATTTTAAAAGCTATTATGGCAGCAATTTTTCCAGTTAATTTTGATAGAGCAGGTTTTTGCATCTTAAACCAGTAAAATTGTTTGAGATTCACACAAATACATTATTTACAAGTGAAAGGAATTTCTTCTTGTAAATTAGCCAAAACAAATTGGAGAATTTAGTAATTGAAAGCCCTAGGAGAAGAAAAAGAAGAACACAGGTAACACAAAATTACATAAAGAAATTTATATGCTTGGCAGCTCACTCCTATTTTTCTTCAGATACAACTAAATCTTAATTTTTAAGGCTCATCAATTCAATGGAAGCAAAGGGCCATATATGCTGGTATGCAATTAAGCCAATAAACTGTTATTCTGCCAACCATATTTTAGTAACAATAGAGATCCAGAGATCTAAAGGATGCAGCACTACACAGTGCTTTGATTAGTCTGTCCATTGATATTGTACAGATGGATATTAAAATGAACCTTGTGATCATAAAGCAGAATGACATACTTTTTGATATGATGTTGTTTCAGCTGTGTGAGCATCTTCTTGGTCTTTCAGTACTTTTTGTGTATCAGTATTGAGAGCCTGAAGCTGCTTTATCAGCTCAGCCTGCTGTGCTGTATGTTCAATGTTTTGTCTGTAAAGATTCTGCAGCTGCTGTAACTCCTTCCTGTGCAAAACAAGCAATAAAGAGAAATTAAGAAAAAGAACAACAATGACCTCCGTTAAACAATTGTGTTCAAATAATTTTATTGTAGATAACGAGCTTCCTATTTTCATTTATTTTTGTCAATTGCCTTATAAACACTAGAAGTTATATATAAAATATTTATCACATCCTCTTGTGAAATATCTACAAAACAGTTAAGTTTCAAAATGGAATGCCTTTCAATTTCCCTCTAATGCTCTAACTGCTCTAAAATAAATGGATTTTCACTACTGCATCAACACTTTCTAATCAATATTCAGTTAACTCTTAGCAGTAAGTATCAAAATGTAAAATATTTAGAACTGTAAATGGACTGTAAAATAAGTTGTTTGTTTGTTTTTTTTTTAATTAGAACTATAAGAAAAAAAACCCCACATTTTTCTTAACTTGCAAAGTATGTGTAAAGCAAGTCTCTCTTCTGAAATGCATATACTTCCTGTCTGCTGATAAATTACTTTTTGTCTGCAGGTATAGCATACTGCCAACTATAAGCAAAGTAAACTTTGGTGTGTACTATATAACATAACAATAAAAGCTCTATAAACACATTAAAAGGAATCGTAACGCAACCATAGGATAGATCTACTATAATAAGTCTCCTTTAGAATTTTACTGTAGTGCTGATAGATCTCAAATTAAGGCGCAAACAAAGATCAATAACTACTACTTATTATAAACAGTGATTAAAAACTTGGAATATTTTCTGTAACACGTTAAAAGCTCAGATGACTCCATTAATCCCTTTTATACATTTTCTACTTAATTTCCTGTTTAATTCGCAAGCATATTTCACACTAGTATTACATACAGATACTGAAATATAAGTTTATCACTCCAACTGACTTTCTTCCTTACTTCCTCAGAGAATTTTCTTGGTGACCTCCAACACACACGCAACTTCTCTGTGCCTAGAATTATCATTAACAAGAGTTATCATTACATTTTTGTGCTACTGCTGGAGATGTCCAGGCAAATATTAGCATACAAAAGGTAAGCAGCAATACCAGCTTCATTGTGTTTTCCTGAGAAATCACAGAATGATGAAGAAACCATTTTAAAGGAACTTTCCAAAAAAACATTTCTTAAGACCTGTGCCACTACTTAATATGTTGATTATTTGTTAAAGGTACAATATGTCAATAATTATATAAAAATTGAAATTACATGTACCACAATAGCAGTCAGACAACTGAATGTTGTTAAAAAAGCACTATTTAAAAAAGCCTGTTAACAGGCCAATACAGGAGAAGACTTAAGGACATGCTTACTTAACAGTATTTAAATCCTACCTTTCTCAATGAGATGTAAGGTAGCTTCTCAAAATGAACAACAGTAGAGGTGCATTAGGGACTCTTTATGTAACAAAACCAAAGTGCAACTGCAGAACGTACTTCATATGTAGTAATTTAATTGTTAACAAGCACAGCAGCCGAAATAAGGACATAGCGATGCATTAGCACTTTCCAACAGGCCTTTTACATTAGCCTTTTACAACAGGCTTCCAAACAAGCCCTTGCTTCATTTCCCTGACTGTGAGTATGCAGTAGAAAATGACACATCTTTGCACTGCAGTTAAAACACAGATTATATTAATTTTGCACAGGTTCTCCACCCAGATCTTCATTTTGCTGTGGAAGGGAAAAACACGGGATAACACTGAATCCTCAGATATTGTTGGAAAAGTTGGTAGTAACTGTTGCCAAGACCACTCTGCTATATTTCTGCTCTTTAATTTGTATGCAAACATCAATGCAGTTATCTGTGTCTGTCACCTGAGAATGCATAGTATTATGTGTTCTCTAATGGTCTGCCCACAAACAGTATTAAGGTCAATGGGAATCTTTTTTGTTGACTTTATCAGGCTTTGAGTCATACCCTAAAGGGGAGGGGATGGGGAGGAAGCTAAACCTTGCAGCCACCCAACTGCAGCACAGTCAGAACACATATTAACATGTTTGTTCACGTTAAACTCAAGAGTTTTTAAACGTAAGGAAACTCAGTCACAGTTCCCTTACACCACATTTTAAAAATCAAACTTTATTTCTTCATACACGTATCCTGACTTGCTTTATTTTTCTTTTTTGAGTAAAAAGTTATACAAACCAAAATAGTTGCAATCTGAAAAATTCCTGAGACAAAGAAATACACAACCACTGTATTTAACTTGCAGTTGTACGTTACAGCTGCTTTTATCCTCTTTATTAAATTAGGTACTATTTTTTCATTGTAAATCCACAAGGCGAACATTCTTTTATTTCATTTTTACACAGGAAGGATGAAATTATGCTCAATCTTACCAGGAATTATTCAGCAGCAATGGTACAATACAAATACATTCACAGAATGAAGCACCTTTGGTAACAGACAGGCCAACGTGGTGAGGGGAGCTTTAAACTAGAAATGGCTGGGGACAGACATGTTGACCAAGCAACAAGCAAGGGAGCTGTGGCCTGAGCTGGCAAGCAAAGGGCACAGGTTGGTGTGGACAGGAAAGACCTTGTGATGAACAATATGAGGCTCAGGGAGGACCACCTCAAGTGTATACACGTAAACAAGGGAGTGATGACAGGACATCAGGATGGGGGAGGCTCTTAAGCGTTCCTAGGAAATAAGCGCAACTCTGTGCCCATTTGAAGTTGCTGTTCAAATGCACACAGCATGTCCCCATAGAGGATGACAGGAGGAATTAAGAGACCCGTCTGCGGTTGCAGGGCTCACTGGGACCACAGAGACAAGGTGGGATAACTGACATGACTGGAGTGCTGCCATGCATGGATACAGGCTCTTTAGGAAGGACAGGCTGGGATGGCAAGAATTTGCCCTTCATGTGAAAGAGCAGTGTAAATGGATGGAGCTCTGCCTTGGGATGGGCAATGAGCCAGCTGAGAGCATGTGGGTCAGGTGTGGGCAGACCAATGTGGATGACATGGTGGCTGCCTGCTGATCCTTTCTGATCAGGAAGAAGAAAGAAGTCCTCTTTAGAAAACTGGAAGAAGATTCATGTTTGCAGGCCCTTGTCTTCATGGGGTACTTGAATCACTGCAGTGTATGCTGGAGGGACAACACAGCAGGACACAAGCAATCCAGGAGGTTTCTGGAATGCTTTGATGATAACTTCTTGCCACAGGCAATCAGCAGGCTGATGAGGGAAGACACATTACTGGACCTCATACTTACAAACAAGGAAGAACTGGTCAGGGATGTAAAGGCCAGGGGCAACCTTGTCTGCAGCCACCTTGAGAAGATGGGAGTTCAGGATCATGAGAAGAAGGAGAAAGGCAAAAAGCAGATTCACAAGCCTGGCTTTCAGGAGAGCAGATCTGGGCATTTTCAGGGACCTACTTGGAAGAATCCAATATAATATCAGCCTGGAGAGAAGAAGAATACATGAGAGCTGGTTGATTTTCAAGGATCACCTCCTCCAAGGCCAAAAATGGTACAATAGTCCATTCCAGCGAGCAAGAAGTCAAGCAAAGGTAGCAGGAAGCTTGCATGAATGAACAAGGATCTCCCCTGACTAAACTCAAATGTAAAAGGAAGGATACAAGATGTAGAAGCAGGGACAGGAGACCAGGAGGAATTTAGACATTGTCTAAGCATGCAGGGATAGGGTTAGGAAAGCCAAAATCTGTGTGGAGTTCAATATGGTGAGGGACATGAAGGGCAACAAGAGGCTTCTTTAAGTACATCAGCAGCAAAATGAAGACAAGCGATAAAGTGGGTTCACTGCCAATAACAGCAGGGGCTCCAGTAGCAAAGAACGTAAAAAGGCCAAAGCACCCAATGCCTTCTTCAGCTCTGTCTTTAAAGGTAACATTTGCCTCCAGCAATCCCAGGTCCCTGTGACTCATAGTCTCAGTGGAGGAGGATCAGATCAGGGAATACTTAAAAAAAATGGACATACACATGTCCATGGGACTTGATGTGATGCACCTATGAGTGCTGAGAGAGGCTCAATAATCTTTGAAAGGTCATGGCTATCAGGGGAGGTTCCTAAGGACCGGAAAGCATGCCACTCCTATGTTCAAGTAAGATCTGGAAAACTAGAGCAGTCAACCAGGCCTCAGTCCCTGAGAAGGTGATGGACCATATAAAGGACAAGAAGATCATTGGGAGTACTCATCATGAATTCACAAAGGAGAAATGAGGCTTAACCAACCTGACAGCCTTCTCTGATGAAATTGCTAGTGCAGTGGATGTTGTTTATCTTGACTGTACTAAGGCTTTTGACAGTCTTTTGAAGAAATGGTTATAGTCTATACCTCATCAGTCCGTCTAAGTGGACAGTAAGGTGGACTTGAACCTGGCTGATTGTGATCAACGGCACAAAGTCCAGTTGAAGGCGAGGCAATAATGGAGTATCCTAGGGGCTAAAATTGAGGTCAACACTTTTTCAGATCTTCATTAATGCCTTGGACAATGGGACAGAGTGCACCATAGCAAGTTTGCTGATGACACAAAACTGGGGGCAGTGGTTGTTTCACCGGACATTTGTGCTGCCATTCAGAGGGACCTCAACAGGCTGGACAAATGGGCTGACAGGAACCTCATGAAGTTCAACAAAGGGAAGTGCAAATTACTGCCCGTGGGGAGTAATAACCCCATGTACTAGCACAGGCTGGGGACTGACCAGCTGGAAAGCAGCTTGTCAGAAAATGCCCTGGGGATCCTGGTGGACACCAGGTTGAGCACGAGCCACTAATGTGCCATTGTGGCAAAGGCCAGTGACATCCTGAGCTGCACTGAGAAGAGCATTTGCGAGCAGGAGGAGGGAGGTGATTTCTCCCCTCTCTTCAGAAGTGGTAAGACACATCTGGGTGGTGTGTCCAGTTCTGGGCTCACCAGCACAAGAGAGGACATACTGGAATAAGTCCAGTGAAGGACCACAAAGATGATGAAACAATTGGAGCATCTGCCATACATAGAGAGCCTGGGAAGGCTCAGACTGTTAGCCTGGAGAA